TATGAAAAATGTTCATTGTCCCTAATCATCAGAGAAATGCAAATCAAAATTACCCTGAGATACCACTTAACCCCAGTGAGAATGGCCACATCCCAAAATCTCAAAGCTGCAGATGCTGACATGGATAGGGAGACAAGGGAACACTGCAAATGAATACAACCTTTTTAGAAGGAAATATGGAGAATCCTCAAAGAACTCAAATTAGACTTCCCATTTGATCCTGCAATCCCATTACTAGGCATCTACCCAGAAGAAAAAAAGAATCCTTTTATCATAAGGATATTTGCATTAGACTGTCAAAGTTCAATTTACATTTGCCAAAATGTGGAAACAACCTAAATGCCAACCAACCCAGGAATGGATTAACAAGCTGTGGTATATGTATACCATGGAATACTATTCAGTCACTAAAAAAAAATGGAGACTTTACATCTTTGTATTAACCTGGATGGAGGTGGAATACATTCTTCTTAGTAAAGCATCACAAGAATGGAGAAGCAAGAATCCAATGTACTCTATTCTAATATGAAGGCAGTAGATGAGCTAATACAAGGCGGGGTAGGGGAATAAGCAAGTAGGTAGAGGGAAGGAGGGAGGGATTGGGGGTCATGGTGTTTGGCACACCTCTTGGGGACAAGACACAGTTATAAGTGGGACTTTGTCTAACAAATGCAATCAATGTAACCTAATCCTTTGTACCCTCAATGAATCTCAAACAATAAAAAAAAAAATAATGAGTTGCAACTAAAATGTGGGACTTTATCTAACAAAGCAGGTGTCAAGGGACCCTCCTGCTGTGTTGTGGCACTGTAGTACAGGGTTACGACAACAGCCACATACACAGAAGGTGGCAGATTCGACCAGCCCGGTCCAGCTAACTAACAATGACAACTGCAACAGAAGGTAGCTGGGCATTGTAGTGGGTGCCTGTAGTCCCAGCTACTTGGGAGGCAGAGGCAAGAGAATCACTTGAGCCCAAGAGTTTGAGGTTGCTGTGAGCTGTGATGCTACAGCACTCGACGGAGGGTGACA